GGGGGGGGGGCGTCAGGCTGTCGGAAAATCCGCGCGGAGAAACAAACCTTAAGCTGAAACCAAGAAAAGCTATACTAACCAAGACAATCCACAAAACACGCCGGCAGGCCGGCGGATTATTTTAATCTATCTTATGGCAGTTTATTGATGATAGAAACATAAAACGTGTCTTTGCAGTGCTGTCAGGCAAACCCACCACTACCAAATTTTGAAGACTTAGACTTAGACTATCTAGATTGAAGGGACCTGGGCACACCTGGGTTACCAAAGCCTGGCACCCCTTTCGAGCTCCTAGCAATTTGACATTTTAGCTTAGTTCGGCATAGTGTTTCCGTGGCTGGTGCACCCATCCCAAGGGCTTTTGATACAAATACTTTACAAATACATTGCCTTACTTGTACTGTATGTTTATCCTTTGAGTTAAGAATGACAGATAATATAACTACACAAATTAAATATTAATAGATTCATATTTAAGCAGGAGGCTGGACTTTGCCCATACTGTGTCCTCAGCCTCAAGAGTGTGACAAAAAAGATTGCGTTGCCATGCAACCTAAATTAACCGTGATTATGGAAGAATCTGGGCTTTGGAACCCGTGGTTTTGAGGGTAGGGGTTTGGGACATTCAGTTTTGACCTTTACCCCATATGGTTTTCACGTTTCGCAGCTTCAATGCGGCCTATGATGGGTGTTCAAGGGTTCTTTTCCCCACCTCTCGAGGGTTAGACCTATGAGACTCTTGATAGAGTAGGTTGGAGGCCATCGCTATTAGGTTGGAAGCTATTACTGGTAGGTTCCTCTCACGTCGTCCGGAACCGCAAAGCTCGACATCCGCCGCATCGTCGTTTGACACCATTCGATGGGGAGAAAAAGCGGGTGTCACAGGCTGTTGGCACTGATTATTCCGGTGGTGGTCTTGCAAGTTGTCACCAGCATAATGCGTTTTAAAGGCCTGACCATTTAGAAGTGCCATCGCACACGTTGTGGGCCGCATAGCGGGGCTTCATTGGATGCTTGTGTGTATGTGTTTGCACATTGCCGTGCAGGTAGTCGCCAAACATTTGCTAGGTTTATCAGCTTAGCAGCCTCGAGGTTAGACATTCATGCTTTGGATGCATAGAGACTGTTCATGCATGGAGCTTCCTGTGGACACAAGGCAATTGTCCTCCTGAAACCATGTAAAGTGGCAACTGAGAGCACCTGCTGTTGTAGCAGGACCGAAGAAACCAGCTTTGTGAGTCCTGCAACGTTTTGTGATCTTCTGTGGTTTGCCTGCTGTTATCACTTCCGTGGCCATGGGCGGGCCAAAGACTTCGCAAGGGAAAGAATTGAACAGAATGATTCATATAGTGGCAAGGTCTATATTAATATAGCTTATGTCTTTGTTGACCTGCGGAAACCTTAACCAAGTGGGCACAAACTTCGGGACCCTCAGACGCACGCTGCCATTTTGCTGGTGGCATTGTCATCCCAGAAGGGTGGGGCCATATATGGGATCACATCCTGTTCTTATTGCGGTTCATTCAGGCTTTGTGCGGGTGTTTAGTTCTGGGGTGAAGAGTGATGGAGTTTGGACATGGATGAGTCATGAAGGTGCCGGTAACGGCCAATTTATTATCTCAGGCAGTCTTTTTGCTGACTTGACGCTCAAGAACCAGGCGGAGGCATGGTGAGTTGTGCTGGGTCAGGAGCAGAGCCGCTTTGTAGCAAACCTCGTCACTTTGGAGATGACTTCTGGATTTTCGCAGACCTGAATACATCACAAATTTGTCTATTCACCCTAGGGGTTGACTGCGCGGCTTGTGGCATACATTGAATACATAGGTTTGCCGCTTTGCCTTTATAATATCATGCGGTTTGCTTTCGGCAGGCGCCACTTGACATCCAAACCTGGGAGAAGATGCGATGCGAACCCTTCCTTGATGCAGAGTTCTCGTCGTTACCCTGGCGCGCCTTTTATGTCACCAGGCACATCCAACAGAAGATGCAAACCCTGAGTTTGACCGGGTTTCCAACCGCTTGCAATCTTCGGTAGATGTTTTAGGATTTCTGTAATTAGTTTCAATCGCATCATGTTGGATCTTCGGAGACAAGATACCGACACAACTTCGGAATATTATACTTCTTTGTTTTGCACGCAACACCCCTCGCTGCTTTTTGGGGCGGCTCCCCAGTAAGCCAAGGTTCCTTTTGGCATGTCTGATGGCAAGAACAAATTTGGAAACTACTGCATCTACATACGAAAAGGTGCAACAGGATAAAAAGGTTTGCGCTCGAGTTAGCAGCTAGCCGGCTTTTGACGCGGTTGGATGACTGCGTTGACTCGCCGCGACAAGCCGACCAGCCGACTCGCCACGTGAAGGGGTATATATTCATTCTCAGCAACACTTGGTTCGGAAAGGGCCAACTGCTCCTGCAGCAGCTGAATTGGGGAAAGAGTTTCAGGTCTTTCGTGCTTGCAAATCAAGTCTCAACGCGCTTGTCAGGAGCGAAGACACCGTAAAGACTTAGGCGAGGCTGCCCGAAGGAGGATGGTTGGCACAGTAGGACGATGTAGGACCTTCGGGTATGATCTCAGGATGCCACAACCTGTCAATGAGCATATAGTCAATATATCGAGACATGCGATATGGACGAGGCCCTCCGCTGCTTCGTTCCTTTGTTGCACGGAGATCGCAGGGACTCTCATGATTCTCCATGACTCCATGGCAGGCTCAGATTAGCCATGCGCATGGGACGATGGAGCCAACTTCACTTAGAGATTCCAACTTGCACGACAAGATATGATATGGGCGCGCATTTAAGACAGACCACCCAAAGCCCCTGGAAGAAGGAAGATAGAACAAACATGAACAAGCACTTACAGTGTGTTTTTGGCGAGTGTGTGTTGTGGCCCGCCCACGCATGCACATATTTATAGGCCGATGAGCTGGTAAACTGTGCAATGATATGCGATCGGTCCATTTCACTGGCGAAGATTTGCGCGGGTATTCTGTAAACACAGCACATTGAGTGTTGGCCGGACATTGATTTGTTTGACAGATTTTTGACATGTTTCGCATGTTGCTTTGCCTTTGGATCGTTGCGGTCTCCGCCTCCGACCTAGACCGATCGGCAGATGATGCCTTGATAGAGGAGTTGCAAAGTTTGATGGGGCAAGAGCAGTGGTGGCCAAAGGGTGGCAACGCCAAACTGCCGCGGAAGACTTGGGAGCGCTGGAAACAGTGCCAGCAGCCTGGTTTCCCTTCATTGCTGCGGGACAACAGGACTCGGACGTCAGTGCGTGCGGCGCATGTGAAGGTGATGGAATGGTTGGTACGACATCATCGGGACCACCCGCGGCGAAAGCAACTCGCAGACAGCATCGGACAGCGATTGGTGCATTTGGGGTTAGTTACACACCCTTATCAGTGGGCAGAGGTCTTAAATGAACAGCTGAGCTCGTTTCCTGTTTTGGACCCCCACACAGATCCAATTCCATGGCCAGGTGTGGCGAAGGCATTGCAATGGCTTGAGACCAATTACACCTTGTTGCTGTCGGCTTTTCATGGTGCTGCCAAGCATCATAGATTTCGAGAACACCCAGAAGGGCTGCATTTGACTGGGCTTTGGGAGACAGCTTATATCTCAAGAGAGCGCTGCAACAGAAAGTCATACCCTGAGGTGTGCCACTTACTAGAGGTCATTGATGAGATTTGGCCGAAAGTGGACGAGGCTGAAGCCATGGAGGCAGTATTGGAAGCCAGATTTGCAAGACTTCATCCTGGAACGGCGGTGGTGGAGCACACAGCAGATACCAACCAGCGCATCAAGATCCATTGCGGCATTGAGAATCCTAGTAACGTCACGATGTTCATCGGCCATGCTCAGGTTTGCTGGCAGCCTGGGCGCTGCTATTTGGTGGACGACTCATATGCACACCATATCTCCTCAGAAGACTCCGACCAGCCCAGAACCATTCTGGAGCTGAAGGTTGCGCATCCAGATTTGGTTTGGGCCGATTATTTGGATGAGGAGGATGGAACGCTGGTACCCAAGCGCAGCGGCGGGAGAAGCGAGCTGTGAGGCTGTGAGGCTGTGAGGGATGAATCAATGGGACATTTGACCCACGGAAACCTTGAGAACAGCAGATCCCACGTTGTCAGACATAAAAGTCGCATCACGGGTGTCCTTTCATGACACGTCACATCACTCTTGATCCCTCCCGAGTCCAAATGGCTGCGAGGTAGGTACCAGGTAGGCAGCATGCTGGGCAGTTTCTGAATCATCCACGGCTACTATAAGTTATATATATACTAGGCTCCATGATTGGCAAAGTTCGACTCAGACATCGCTGTACCTTGCAAACCCTTGCAAAAAATGTGCCCTTGCCGATGGGTTCATGCACTTGGTCCATGTGATGTGTTAGCTTTACCCTCTTTGGGGTGGATGTGGTGACGTGTGCACCTCACTCCGACAGTCTGACGACGGTCGGGCGTTCATGTGGACACGCTAGTATATGGTGATGGGTTCCGCTGCAGGTGACGATTGTCCCGTGTGCTTCGAGGCCGGAAGCTGCGGCGCAGCCGGTTGACAGTGAAAATCGGCGGTCCACTGAGGGGGCACGTGTGGTCGCTGGTCCGGGAGAACAGAAGTCTTGGATGCCTCAGGATTTCTAGATTTCCAAGGTAGCTGGTTCGGACCTTTTGATCACATCTGTGAGCACAACAAGACACTTTCCGTGCTGAGACCGGGTAGCTGAAACATGCTGAACTTCAGCAATATTGGCAATAGTAGAGTCATGTTGTAGACATGCTTCGCAGCTGACCAAGAGTAGAGCCCGCAGCTGAAGTCCTTCGCAGGCTATGGCTGAGGATGAGGAGACTGCAGGCGCACAAACAGCATCCCCGGAAGCCGATGTGTCGAAGCTGGTGAACCATGGTGAAACTGTGAGAGAGGAATCACGTTACCCGTTTACTTACTTGTTACTTGTATGTAGGTCAAATTTTGACAGTGCAAAGAGCATGACGACCACCCTCCACAACCCACTTGGTGATCTTGGTGTTTTTTGGGAACAAATCACCAGATCTTGTTTGTTGTTTAACTGTTTGGCACTTGATATGTTTTTGTATTTTTTGTGAGGTCACTGTGCAGGCATGTATGTTATAAGCCCATTGTGACCAACAGTTTTTCCAACTCGTGACACCCAATGGCTTTCATTGACAAAGGTACGGTATGCTCAAATTAGCCTGACGTGAACAAACATCAGGCCGACACACTGTCACAGGAAGTTGGACCACACATAAAAAGACCAGGTTGTGGTGCATGCGCTTGCGCTAGTGTTGAACGCTTTCAAGGCAAACTGGTTTTCTGCTGCGCTTGCGGGAACAACTTTCACAAAGACTGCCGCAGCCTTGGAAGTCAACTCTTCAAACTGCCTTGCGGTTTTCACCGGCTCATCGGGTACCAAGTTCCTCAAGGATTCCTTTCCAATACAACGAAGAGACTCACCGAAGGTAAGTGGAGAAGAACCAACTTCACCGCACTTGATAATGGCACCTCTTATCGGAGTGTGCCATCAGAGCCTAGGAGGACGTTGTGGACTCGGGGAAGTAGGTCTATATACAGTATATACAGATATGTAGAAGTAACTCTGACTGATTGGGACCGTATCATGACCAAATGCAACATAGCTTGTGATGTGGTGCCAATCAGAGCAAAGAATAACAACGTTCAACTCCGATTGTCTCAGGCATTCGCCGATGGCAACAAGCCTCCTGCGGATCTTGTCCTTTATGTGAGCACCTCAGATTCTATGCGAGTTGTGCGTTTAGGTTAAGCCAAGGGGAGTTTCAATATTTCCCCACCTGCCAGGTGAGGGTTGTTAGATTTTATCACAGTTGTTCTTCCTCCTTCCTTCCTTCCTTCCTTCCTCCTTGCTGCCTTCCTCGCCAATCTTCATCGCCTCGCCAATCTTCATCGCCAATCTGCTTCGCCGATCTTGTCTGGCCAGCTCCGGATCGCAGTGTGCACCCCTGGACCTCAACGGCAAGGACCCCCTCGCAGTGTGCACCCCTGGACCTCAACCGCAAGGATCCGATCGCAGTGTGCATCCCTGGACCTCAACCGCAAGGATCCGATCGCAGTGTGCACCCCTGGACCTCAACCGCAAGGATCCGATCGCAGTGTGCACCGCTGGACCTCAACCGCAAGGATCCGATCGCAGTGTGCACCGCTGGACCTCAACCAGATAGTTTGCCAGATAGAATGCCAAGTAGATTGCCAGATAGAATGCTGCAAGAAGATATGCCAGATAGTATGCCAAATAGTGTGTCAGATATATAGATTGCTAGATACATTGCCAGATAGAATGCCAGAAAATATGCCAGACAGAATTCCAGACAAAATGCCAGATAGAATGCCAGACAGTATGCCAGATAGTATGTCAGATAGATTGCCAGATAGAATGTCAGATTGAATGGCAGATAGTATGCTTCAAACACACGACCACAAACACAACCACAAGCTCACAACCACAAACACACAAATACAAATACATAACCACAAGCACACAGCCACAAACACAACCACAAACACGCAACCACAACCACAACCACAAACACAACAACAAACACAACCACAAACATAACAACAACACACACACACACCCACAAAGACACAACAATCGACACACAACCACAGACACACAACCACAAACACTCAACCACAAACACACAACCACAACAACAAAACCACAAAGACACAACCACAAACACACAACCACAAACACAACCACAAACAACAACAAACGCACACCCACAATCACACAACAATAGACACACAAACACCACCACAAACACACAACCACAAACACACAACCACAACAACACAACCACAAAGACACAACCACACACACAACCACAAACACAACCAGAAACACACAATCACAAATACACAATCACAAGCACAACCACAAGCACAACCACAACACACAACCACAAACACAATCACAAACACAACCACAGCACACAACCACAAACACAACCACACACAACCACAAACATAACAACAAACACACAACCACAAAGACACAACAATAAACACACAACCACAAACACAACCACAAACACACAACTACAAACACAACCACAAACACATCCACAAACACACAACCACAAACACAACCACAAACACACAACCACAAACACGCAACCACAACAACACGACCACAAAGACACAACCACAAAGACACAACCACAAACGTACAGCCACAAGCACAACCGCCAACACATCCACAAACACACAATCACAACAACACAGCCACAAACACACAATCACAAACACAACCACAACCACAACACACAACCGCAGTACACAACCCGAGGACCCACAAGCAAAATCGAGAACTACAATACTCACGACCATGGCAACATGCTCCTCACTATATTTTTTTGTTTTCTTTTTGGATTTTTTTTGTTTTTGCTGGTGGCTTTTGGCTTTTGTTTCTTTGTTGGCTTTTGGTGGCTTTTGGCTTTTGGCTTTTGTTTCTTTGTTGGCCTTTGGTGGCTTCTCTTGGCTTTTGGCTTTTGGTGGCTTTTGGCTTTTGTTTCTTTGTTGGCCTTTGGTGGCTTCTCTTGGCTTTTGTTTTTTTTTTTTTTTTGCTTCCCTTGCTTCAAAGCGGTGCTGCAAGGAAGGAAGGAAGGAAGGAAGCATGTCCATGGTTTGAGGGCATTGTTTTTTTAAGATCTTTTTTTTTATCCAGATGCCGTTCTCGGTGGCAGCGTGGGTTGTGCGACATGAACACCAGAACACGATAGAACTTTGGGTGTATTGGCCACCAAAGGGAAAAAGGAAATGAAAAGAAAAAGAGCAAAAGAACAAAAGGACAAAAGGAAAGGAAAAATAAAAAAGAAAAGGAAAAGGGAAAAGGAAATGAAAAGAGCAAAAGAAAAAAGGAAGAGAGAAAAACAAAATTAGTCAAAACAAAAAGGAAAGGGAAAAAGGAAAAGGAAAAGGAAAGGAAAAAAGAAAAGAACACAGGAAAAGGAAAAAGGCAAAAGGCAAAAGGAACAGGAAAAACAAGAAGGAAAAGGAAACAGGCAAAGGACAAGGGAAAAGGAAAAAGGAAAAGGAAGAGGAAAAAGGAAAAAGGAAAAGGGAAAAAAACGGGAAAAGGAAAAACAAAATAATCAACGGAAAACAATCGAAAAACAAAAAAAAATAAAACTCCAGAAATAAATTCGCAACCTTCTTGGAAAAAGGGAAAAGGAAAAAGGAAAAGGAGAAGGGAAAAGGAAAAGGGAAAATGAAAAACAAAATAATCAATGGAAAACAACCGAAAAAAAAAAAAAAAAAAAAAAAAAAAACATCCAGAAAAAAATTCGCAACCTTTTTAATATGATAGGTTTTTGGGGCAGGACATGGAACAACGAATTATGTTCACTAATTAGCCTAACTATAGAGTGGCAACTGGATCTATTCTTGATCCCTCCTAGAGTTTCAGCGGCCATTGAGAGAAATCCAGGAGCTGCTGGTTGCTTGTGGGGTTTTGGAACATTGTGAGCGGGAGCACGGCCATTGAGTCAAATGGTTCTGCCAATTACCGCCACCCCGAGGGTCGATCGCAGACCACCCGGTCGACCCTCGGGACCGTTTGGACCTTCCCTCAGGCAAAAAGAAGGTTTGCCCATTATAAGAATATATATATAGGTTTTCTACCATATATTTTGGATCCCATAGTTCCTCCCACATATATTTTCCACTGAAAAAGGGTTTGGGTGAGTTTTACTCCTACGTGGGCTTCGCAGCTACTCTCGTGCTCGCCGCCCAGCCGTCTTCAGACGAGATTCGAACGAACACGGGAGCGAAGAACTCGATTGGTTGTCGAGGCTTTCGAAGGATCCCAGGTGGATACCTTGTTGACATAGATCAACTGACATTCCCATTGCTCTTCTTGCGTAAAGACCCGCTGAATTGATTTGGCTGGGGCGACTGCAGCCATGGACGGGGCCCAGTGTCTGGACTTCAAAGTGCTTTGACTGAGTTTAGTGGTGAGATTTTTCGAAGGCGGCAAAATCTACATTTCGAGATACATAAAGTTTTATCACCTTTCTTTGTGTTAGATTATGTTAGTTCCCAATGCTCAAAGAGCTCAGTCAGTTGCAGTTGGCGTGGGACATTCCAAACTAGCCACCGGTGCTTCGAACTGTGTGATTCCTGTCATTGCAGGGTCAGCTGTCCCTTACTACAAGTACATACGTGGTGAAGAATACGTCTGGGCCCCAGCTACATGAATCATGTCGGAGTAGGAGTGGTAGATTCTTGCGTCCCCAGGTTCCTCGATGTGATTGCCGAGGAGGGTTCGAGCGGTGATGAGCTAAATACACCTTTTACAAGGAATGTGTCAGCGCCTCCGGTCATGCTGCATGCCCGGAGCTCAGAGTCCCGTCCGGTCGGTCCCCGTGTGTTTTTCTCGTCACCGAGGAGCCGGCATACGTGCAAACAGATGCCTTCGAGCCTTGGAGCAACGAATCGGTTGTGGCGAACGAACAGCTGAGATTTGGTGTTTGTGCACCAGCCCAAAGGGTGCTAGAATTGGGCCATCTCCAACTCCAGACTGCATCTCAATGCAGTCTATATTCAGTTGCTTCTTCAAGCGCACCACAGGTTTCAATCCAAGCGGAGTGCCAAGCGGTTTTGTTTGCGAGGTGGCACGTGCTGCGTGTAACATGGAATGCGAAACTGGCCGTTGCCGGTGACCTTTCGTCTTTCAGATCCCAATGAGGCGGCCCTGGGACAGCGACTATATAATGGCTATGGAGTTGGCTCGACACATATCAACACGCCGAATCTTGGGCTGAAAAGACTGTTTGTTTGGTTCTTGAACCTTTCTTGGATGTTGCCAAGACCAGATCGCTTTGAGCCTATGAGGTTGTTTGAGCAAATCGTGCAGCTAGAGCAACCCTTGAAGAGCAAGGGCAGCATAGGGCACCCAAAGACTTGCAAGGTGCGGATTGTGCTGAATGGTGTACCGTGTTCTGGACATGGAATATGGAATTGTTCAAGCCTAAGGAAACAGACAGATGCATAGTATTTGTTAGCATTGTAGGCTAGAGATGCAGCTTATCTTTACAATAGATGCAATACAATAGTCATGCATGACATTTGCCGCTCCCGATCACGCACAGAGTTGTAGCGGCTGCCCTTGACGTTGTAGCACATAGGCCGCCACAACAAAGTGCACACAAAGGAGTATATAGCTGTTCTACTTCGATGCCCTATGATGCCCTCTAGCAGCTAGAACTATTTGACGTGCCTGCCCTGCTTTGCTCTCCATCAACTCCTTTCAATACCTGGCAAATTCCTCTAGCCAGCGTTTTGGAAACTGTAGCAAGCAAAGCCCATGTCCGTCAATCGGTGCATAATCTGCATACATATATATATATATATATGTATGCATCCTTTAAAGGACATGCTTTCGTATGTTTGTCCTTCTCGACAACTTTGCGATATGTTCATTTGAATTTGGTGAGTTTAGGCTTCTGAATCTATGCCAGGTTGCTGCAATAATTTGCACCTTCAATACGCAGAATGCCAACAAGATACTGGTGACACGCCTTTAGTCAATAAAGACCTCCTCTGTTGTTGTGTCCACAGTCAAGCACCTAACAAGGATTTTGAGTGGCAAGAGAAGGAGAAGTAAGGTAAAGGAGAGAATCACAATATATATACCAACATCACTGTCACTAGGATTTTGCGGAAGGTCCATGAGGCATTTGCCGGCCAGGAGTGCAGTTTCTACTTCTTCAGCGCTGCAGGATGTAGGAGTGGTGCTGATTGCTCCTTCTGCCATGAAATCCACCCGAGGACGGGCCCTCTCTCGACGACACTCTTTTTGGTTGGGCCCAGTTCAGCTGCAGGAAAAACAAAAGGAAAAACAGGCTCATCCAGATGCGCCCTAGACTCAGCCTGAGGGAGCGCAGAGCAGAGCGTGTTCGGGACTTGATGGTAGCGTGTTTGACGCATCGAATTGCAAACCTCACGGAATGGGTTCCTCCATGTTCCTCATCTCCTTGCACAGATTCACATGATTCACACTAAACTTGTATACAATTGAGTTTTGGAGCTTGGAATCGTTTTAGTTCCCAGCCTGGCACGCAGAAGAGGCGAGACTGGCACGCAGAAGGAGATCGTCCCCGAGAAGGCTGGTCTGGTCGAAACACCCGGGACTTCACCGAACGGGCCGCCATCGAACCGCGCGCGGCCAGTCAGCCACTGAACGGGACAGGTCGGACAGGACTTCAGATCTTCTCAGATGAAGTTGGACAAGAAGCTGGACTCCGCGAAGGCTGAAGGAAGTCAAGGCCATGTTCTGCACCGCCCACATGCATCAGGATCAATGAATCCATCAACAAAGATACGGTGTGAACGAGCTTGAAGCAGTTTGTCCAAGTCAGTGGGTCTGTGTTGATTTGGAGTCCGTACAGGGAATTTTTCAACCTTTGATGGACAGAAGGTACCTCATCTCCCTTCGTGGGGAGTGACATTGTGCTGCGAGTGAGCTATTACCAGGACGGGATGGAATCGGCGAGTTATTGCGTTTATGTAATATATATATATATAATATACACATAAATGTTCAAGATGTTCACACAAAACATGTTGAAACAGAGTCACAGTCAATTTTCAGTGTCCAGACTATCTGAGGTTCTGACTACATTTAACATATGAATGTCAAAAATCCCCCTGGCCGACTTGGCAGTGATCGGACAGGGACCGCCAGTCGCTGTAGTTTTGGGTCTTCAACGGAACGCCATGCGGCGTTCAGAGCACACTTCAGTCCTCAGTGTGTGCTTGAATGTTTGCTGTGAGCTCCCAGCTTTGAGGATTCTGTTTGTAGCATGCATGCAGTAGGAGGCAATCCATTGAGCTATGCAGTAGGGACTGCATGGGACTGCAGTTTTTGGAACACTTTGGGTCAGGGGGCTATGTCAGAGATGAGTGATATCAGCCCCTTGGAGGAGAATGTTATTCTTTGTTCTTTTTCCAGTGCGAAGAATGTTGCGAGACTCGCTCCAAGGTGCTCCACTTTCTTTGACGCTCGTTACAGGCATTCTTGTTTATCTTTGCCGCTTGGGGGCAATTTCCATGTTTGCACCCTTTGTGCAAACATGGCAGATCAAATTAGATGGGGTGCAATTGTTGCAGTTTTTTAGGTGCAGTCTTAGTAGAGCTCGTAAACTCGGCTGGCGTGCATGCTTTGGGGCAGCAGGTGAGGGAGCCAGATAGGTGTGAAGACCTTTAGGTTGGGATTTGCTTGACATGGATTTGCCATGCTCTGTGGAAGTATTTCTTGTTCAAAGTTGCATCTTGCCTCAGGCCCCAAGCTGAATTTTGGCAGTTCAGAGGGACAGCGCTGCCTCGAACCGAAACTGGCCTTTTCGGTTGATCCGCTCCTCCCTCGAGGCCAAGACGAGACCAAAGTCATCCGGCAGAACGACCAAAAAAGCACCTGCACAACAATTTGCTTGTCGGTATGCGAACACATTTGTTCATTCATTTTGTCCATTCCTATTTGTTTGCTGAGACTGACCTACCTTTCTCATGCAAACAACCCAAGGCCCAAGGCATGCAACAACAAAGTATGTTTCCCAAAAATCTAGGAACGAAATCATTAGTGCAAGCGCTTCTTCAAGAAAGCTCGCCCCCGCCCTCAGGCGGAGGGAGCTTCCTTGAAGAAGCGTGAGCTATCCTGCGTCCATATGCAGTAGCTTAAGCAGCTAATGGCTTTACATGCACAAACAACCGCACACGCCCACCTTTGCCCTTTGCGCCGGACTCCCTCCAATCACATGAGTCATTTGCTAGGGGAGGATTCATGTCCAAGTTTAAAGAACATCATCCGGTAGGAGTCTTGGAAGGGATTGAAAAGAACACTTGGATAGCTATCCCAGCCTATCGCTCTACAAATTGTTCTTTCGCACCTGATTCCATAGAGTCCTTTCTTCCTAGCTTGGATGCACCAGGGTCGAACTCTCGCATCACTCCAAGATCATTTGATGATGCCAGGCTTGACGCTGAATGCAAAGACTGGCACTATCATCGGAGTACCGATTCCCAAAGATCCATCTTCGAAGGTGCGGCCTTACCCCTGCCTTGAACGAATTGAACACTCTGAGTCGCGCTGCGACTAGAAACGCTTCTCACACTGATCGGGTGTGTGACCCTGATCTGATGACCGTGGGTCATTATTCAATGGTTTTTTCAAGAGACAACCTACTGAGCATGAACATGCAGGCTCGCTGGCATATCATCACAGTCACAGCTCCCGTCTCTGGGCTAGAATCAGAAGACTTCACCGGAACCCTAAACTTAGGAACAAACCTGGCACTCCCACAATGGTGGACGACTTGATCCGTGCCGCAGACAGAGAGAGAGAGAGAG